AGGACAAGCTTAGCACCAGAATACAATTTTCGTCCATATAATGCAAACCCACCCATGTACAGAGACATACACATCATAAGAAAATTTAGGATACAGGATTCTTGAGCACTTAGATTGAACTTGTCTTGCGCAAGCACTGATTTATGGTGAATTGTTACTTGCACATGTTATTGCTTGATGCAAACTTAAAAGGATTTTTAAGAACTTAAAAAGTTGGAACGTGTGCTTTAGATGTGGATAATCGAGAGATTTTGATAATAATAAATGTTGGTTGCTGTATTTTCCCATCAACATCTTCTTTTTTTTTTTTTACGGTGCATTTTTACATGCTGTTGATATCAGGGAACCCTGCAAATGATCTTGTTGATATCATCAATAAGAACCGAACAGCTCAGAAACTCCCAGAGCTGAATGACAGCCCCGGCCTTGGCTGCATGGCTCTGCAGTATGTTGAATTATGCAAGGATAACTGCTCTAGCAATGGTGTTGTGAATTGCAAACCACCTGAAGATGACTTTACCGAGATTTTTGGTCCGAACTGTGGTGTAGAGCTGCCCACTTTTGGCACCATAACTGGCCATGTCGTAGGTTGTCAAGCTAAGTACCTTGAGCCATCACTGGCCTTTTCCCATGTTCTTGTCAAGGACAGTAAAGCTTTATCCCTGATTAGAAATAAATCACATACAGAGGTGGGAGTAGGCTTGGTTGGGGCTCGTAAAGGTTCCTTCTTTTGGTGTATTTTATTTAGTGATGGCCAGACAAATTCCACTTTTGTTCTTGAAGATAACGGCAAAGGGATCAAGCAAAAGAATGGGTGCTTTAGTGGGAGCACTTTTCCATGCAGCAGTGGACAGAGGATCCCTGTGTTTCTCAACAATTTTATGACCTTGGTTCTTCTAAATATTTTTCTGCTACAACACTTGTATCAAACTTGGTTTGTAATGATGTGAATGATTTGCTGAGACAGTTATGCTTGGAAATTTTGTTATATAGGTGGGAGGACATTATTTTTGGTTGTTGAAGATGAGTTGTAATTTTTTGTTCTTCCACTTTTATCGATTTCTTTTACCATATTGATGTTCATGCGATCGTGACTCATTAGCAGACTAATGCTCCAAGTAGACTAGAAGGAACACTGATCTTGGTTTGAAAGTTATTTACCATGGGTATCATCAACAAAATACAGTTCCTATTAATTAATAATACAAGCTGAGTCCGTTGTGCTTTTCCTTGCAAAGGAGATGGAGGAGTGGAATGTGAATCTTGAATTAGCTAGAGGGTAAAAACTACAACAGTTAGTGCCATATCTATCTCCGAAGGATGAGAAATTCGCAAAGTTTGCTTTCACTAAATTGGTTGCCCGCTTCATGCTCCAAGTTGGACTCAAATTTTTTGGTGATAGTAACATTTTTAATGCAAGAAAAAGTTTAGACTCGGGTACTTTACCTAACTTGATTTAATAAATGTAGTTTGTTTAATAATATAATTTTAAAAAAGCAATGATATATGATAAACTAAAAAAAAAAATGGCAATGATTAAATGCAAAAAATAAATGTTGCCAAAATCAGGAAAAATATATTCCTAGTAATTTTAAAATGTACATGATTTTATTTAGTAACAAAGTAAAAAATTAATAACAAAGCAAGAAATAAATAAGAATAAAATACCCCTTAAAAAGAAAAATAAAAAAATATATAGAAAGTTAAATTCTCAACAAATTAAATATTGAAGAACAAATTTAAAAATAAAAGATTCAAGTTGATCTAAGCTAGCATGTCACATCTACGATCTAGTTGTGAGATCATGATAATCTCATAAAAAATAAATTGAATAAAATACAAAACTTAATTATCAAATCAACTAAATGATAAAAAATAATAATGAAATTTGACTTAAAAATAAAATAAAACTAAATATTGAAAAATAAAATTTAATTAAAATAAATTAAAATAAAACAAATAGCAATTTTAGCCCTTTTAATCTTAGTTTCAAGAACATAAAATAATTTATTTATTTTTGTAAAATTATTTTCCAAATCAATATTGGAACATTTACGAACACAAGATACACGAGGACATGCAAATTAAAGCAAGCTACAATAAATAAAATTGTGTCAACACAACTTGAAATAACTAATTGCAAATAAATAAAGATCGGTGACCAAAATGCAAGAAGGTCAAGATTTCAAGGACTTGAAAGGGAAAAAATAGTGTGAATGGTGAAACAAACAGCGGAATGTGAGGTGGAATAATAAAAATTCCAAATCTTTTAGTCTCTTTTACTAGCTAATTACTTGCAACTATATCTTAGATAAAATTTCAAGTTAATTTTTAACACGAAAAAAATTAAGGACGGCAAAATAAAACTTCTAAATGTCAAATTAAAAGAAACAGAAACTAGATGACCAAAATGAATTGAAAGTAAAATGTGAGGGACCAAGAACGAGAAATTGCATAAAGAATAATGCTTATGAATAATGATTCGTAAGATGATAAATAGAAACGCTACAGCAAAACACTGCCGTGTTTTAGCTTCTTTGTTGATTAATAATGTTAAAATTAATAATTATTATAATTATAATTTATAATAAGCTGGCGTGTTTGTAAGAAAAAACCAATAATAGGGTTGAAATTTTCCAAGTTAAGTTCCATCAATGTTGGACATATAGTGATAGAATCTCTCGGCCAAGGTCTTTAAAAATTGGAGAAGTATCATTCTACATACATATAATCTCAAGCAGAAACAGATTCTTATGGCAAGAACGCAAACAAGATCAATACCACAGGAAAACTCACTTCAGATGGACGTCTCCATGTTTTAATCTCCCAGCCACTGATAACAGCATCTAATATTCCATTCAATACCAATAGCAAACAAACAATCAACGTGCACGCGAGCTGGGCACAGCTCTGTTCCCATCTGTAGTCGTCCGCTACGGAAGGCACAAAAGCAGCCCAGGCTCCATCATTTGTGATTGGCAAGATCCTATGCTGCAGCCCAGAGAGACATCGACAGGCTTTGGCAAACCATCCGATGCATTCACTTGTATGTACTGGACTTACAGCTGTGTATGCCTCTCCTCCACAGCCAGTACATTTAACTGATGATAACATATAAACCATAAAATTCAAAAGCTCTCCTGTCTAACAATTCTAACTGGATCCCTGGCAACTGAAGTTTTGCATGCAGGGAGCTCAGGCCTGAAAAGCCACCACCACATACACAACCCCGTAACAAAAAGCGGAACCAGACTCATAAAACAGTTTATAGGCTCACAGTACAAAAAAAATCCTAAAAATTCAAACCTTTGAAATGCAGGAGAAGAAAATATGTTGGCAGGAAATGAAGTTCTAAACTAAAGTTTATAATCAACAAGACAGCAATAATTACCACTCATCCTCCTCACAGCAATCTCAGAAGCAGTCCAATATGCATGCAGTTAGATCCAACTGTAAGCAAAACAGTGCATATCAAAAGATGACAAACACATAGATTGCCTATCTCAAACCACGGGTTCCAAAATTTTATGGCTGCAGGACTGGAATCTCTTCTTCCAGTTTTGTAAGCGAACGAGGAAGTTATTTATAGCCTCAATTGATAGCATATGAACGACATGGTGCTCACAGAAGCCAAACAATAATTATGGAAATAAAGGTGCATGCAATATTGTGTGTATTCGCTCAAACCAGATTCCAGTACAGATGGCAACAAATTTATTGTTTTACAGAAGATCACAATTGGAAGATTGTAATCAAGCAAACTAAGAGCAAATGAAAATAAAAACTAAAAAAATTTCCTATAATAATCCCAATCCATTGAACCACACATTTATGTGGTGAGAAAAGTGGACATAACTTGAGGACATTCATTCTCAAACACAAGATTGATATTTACAAGAATCACAGCAACATCCTACAATAACAATCAGGGTTGTCATCCCAGATTTTGCATCCAAGTTTTGCAACAGCATGTAATCCGAAGTTGACAATCCACTGTGCACATAAGGTACTATATATATAATGATACATGTGGTGAGACTTTTACATGGTAACAAAGGGAAAGAATAAGAAAAGATTTTATTAAGAGATTCAACATGGTTTATTTCTCTTAATGGTATAAATCAAGTTTCTAAAAACTGATCAATTTGTTCACTAAAATTTTTAAAGTATCTTCAAAGAGTAAATAAAACAACACGATCAATTTGTTCACTGAAATTTTTAAAGTATCTTCAAAGAGTAAATAAAACAACACCAGATAGTTTGGGTATTTACTTGTTTTCCAAGTAGTATCACTTGAAAAACTTTAAATAAACAACTGATATGCATTTTAAATCACGCTACCATAATATGAAATAGAGAACCAACTAAGTCTATCGCCCATGTACTAGATGCTAAACTAACTGGAGTACACTTTCCCAGCATCCGTGCATTAGGGAACTATGATCTTGATAATATAGAAATATTTATGACAGCTATAAGCTAGTTAGCATGGTAATTGCAACTCCATGATGACTTAATATTTTTTGTACAGTCCTACAATGTGGTCAAAACTGCAATATCTTAACCAATGAACTAAAGAATTCATCTCATAATTCTAGCAAATCCATCTTCTGCTCTTCGAAGACACATTTCCTGTTATAGGCAACATCCTGAATCAATCATGCATGCTTCAAATGATGACACTAATGTGCATGGCTCATGCAACGTACAAATAACGACAATGACATGCATGGCTCACTCTTCAAAAGAGGAAAGGCAAGCATGAGAAAACTGCTTGATTCCTCAAAGTATCAGACTTTCCTTAAATCGATTAAAAGCTGTTAAAAGTAACTGATTTTAGCACTAATAACAGGAATATTTGAAAAGGAAAGCAATGCAGAGACACGACGTGCTAGTCAATCACAACACCATATACCAACCAACTATTAGGCTTTACGTTCCAAGAGATAATTCAAGCTTTGGGATGATAAGTTTTCAAAAACCAGCATAAAAAACAAAAGTTGGGAAAAGCATCTTGATTTCAAACTAACTGAAAATATTAACACCAATGTTATTCATATCTCTACTCACTAGACTAACTGTTCTTATGTACATCTGCGGCTACCCATGACAAAAACTATAACATTAACCCTTCCAACATTCCCAGAAGCTCCTCGGTGAACAGAAAGAGGCACAAAAACAAGATACATTTGTTACCCTTTCATCTTCACGGGATCATGTATATGCTAAATTGATTTCAGCTGATGTCAAAAGAGTTCAACAGTCATCACCTCCAACCTCCCAGTCAAGTCTTTAACCCTGCAGAGCAGGAGAACTACATTCTCAACTGTATAGATCAAAGCATAAACGAATTAGCCCATTTTTGAAAAAAAAATCAAATTCAATAATCACATGTTCTTTATATAAAAAAAATATTAATTAAAATATAACAAAACATCTCTTCTACATCATTTTCCACTTGCTATGACTCAAACTAAACCATCTATTGACTACATGATTTTTTTTTTTTTTTATTTTTTTGCCATTATCTTACTTAAAACAACAATAGCAAGCCACCAGTTCCTCTTCCTGTTTCATTGGTTCACAGAGCCAGCAACTAGGAAGTGAAAAGGGTAAAAAAGAACACTAAAACATTCAGAAGTATCAATACAAATCAGACCTTTGAAGGAGCTTCATGAACCTTGTAACATTCCGGAGTGATCGAAGCCAGCCACATACCAGGAAACAAGCACTGCAGAAACAGAACCAACAAAAGCACATATCAATTAGTCATCAAATCCATCAATTAACCAGAAAATAATAATAGATTAGAAAAAAAGAAATGATGATTGCATACATCAAGTTGTTTTTGCACATGCTTAGCTCTCTTCTTTGACCTTCTCGCGGGCTTTGACCCAGTCAAGGAATAAATATCTTCTTCAATTTCCTCTCTAGTAAGAGGAATCGAAAACCTCAACTTCTTCTCCTTATCCTTTTCCTTTTCCTTCTCTTTCTCCTTGTTGTTGTTGTTGTTGTCGTCATAGTTAGTAGCATCATTACCATTCCGGTTCGACCGAGTCCATTCATTCCGATTAGTACTTGTCACCTGAGATTTGATCTCTTGCACCGCGCCACCACCAATCTTCACAGCACCTCCGCTCCCATTCAAACCCTTATTAACGGCTCTCCTCGGCCTCAGATTCCACGTCTTCGGCATCGACTCCTCCACATCCTCCACTACAGCAGCAGAGTCCAGATCCCCTGCATCCGCAGCCACATCATCCACCATGCACTTGCTGCTACTGCTACCGCTGCTATTTTTGGTGGTCCTCAAACGAATAAAGATCTTCGATTTCTTCTCCAAAGTCTCAGCATCATCAGATTTTTGCTTCGATAATTTCTCAACCTTGACCCCGCCGTCTCCGTCCGAGTCAGCCGCAGCAGCATCCCGGTGAGGAGATTTGTTGGAGCGAAAGCGGTGGTGGTTGGTGGCGTTGTTGGAAGGGTTCATTGACCATTTAAGGTCTTGTAGAGGAAAGTTATGGAGTGGCTGGGGTGGTTTGACAGTAGTAGAAGAAGCCATAACAATATTGGTTGTGTTTGGGTGGGTTGCAGATATGGAGCGAAACACCATTGAAGAGAAACAATCCGATTTTTTTTCTCAGTGTTCAAATCGGCAGCTCAATTGAGTTTTTCTGGTAGGAAAGGAATCAGAGAGTGAATTTGCTTTGGTTGGATAAAAGAGGAGAATGGAAGGAAATTGGATGCCTGGAAAGTGAAATCAGGTCAATCTAAATCTCAAGGAATTATATAGAGGCTTTCCTCCTGAGAAAAGATGGACAGGAAGCAGTTAATGGACACATACCCTTTGTTGAGGACTCTCTGAAGAAAGTGGAATGGATACAAGAAGTTCTTATTAATTATTTTATTACCAATATTGTCCTTGGTAATTTTGTGTATTCGCACTTTGCCCTTCAGAGATTTGTTTTTTTTTTTTTTTAGAAACTTGGCTAATAAGGCAGCTTTATTTTTATCTAGAATGAATTTTGAAATTTATTAGTTTATTGCTAGTACTGTGGGTTTGGTAAATTTTTTAAATTTTTTAAAATGTAAAAAGATATTAAAAATATAAAGAGATTTTTATCATGTTATTATTTTTATATATATATTTAGATTTTTTATACAATGATATAAAAAATGAAAAATTTTAAGAAATATTATTTTAGTATATTTTAAAATAAAAAATACTTTAAAAAACAATAAATCACACTAATAAACAATTATTTCGTATAATAATTGATAAAATTATATGGAATTGAACTTCACTTGCATATCAATTGATAATTAAGCATGATGTTGTGATTTAAAAGATTCTTCTTGTGTGATCTTAAGCATGATGCTGTGATTTAAAAGGGGAGGAACCTCTTCTTGTATTACGTTTTTCTGTGGATCAATTGATAATTGATAAGGCCAATAAATATGATATTGAAAAAAGATGGTTATAATTAGCATCGAGAATCCAAGATTGAGACATGTATTAGACATCTGGGTTTTATATCCTCGATCGTTTCTTGCCAGATTTTATCACTATTTCAAGAACGTTGATCTCTCAACCGCATCCAGAAAGTGGCTACGACATTGGACCACGAGGATTCCTTCTTTTGGTGGGAAAAAGGTGTTGACCGGTGTTGCCAGTTAAATGCTAAAGACCAGAGAAAAACTGTTAATCTTTTTATTTATTTATTCGTGTGACTTATTGGTTAAGGCTACGTTACGTGTTTTAAAAGAAAATTAAAATTTAATTTAGTTTTAAATTAGTTTTTTTTATTACTTTGATGTATTGGTATTAAAAATAAAAATATATATATTTTTAACTACTTTGATGTATTGATATTAAAAATAAAAATATATATATTTTTAATAAGTTTTCAAGCAATTTTTTTATTTTTTATATCATATTATTAAATAAATAATAATTTATGATTCAAGTGCCGGTTTTGCGGGTTGCTCAAAATTCATGCCTCCTTGTAAAAAAACACAAAAACAGGAAGCTCTTAAATCGGGACACGTACACACCATGCAGATGAGAGCCGTTACACATTTATGTGGTTTTTGTTTCACTCGTTGGCCAGACCTCAGCCATCCAATTTAACTCCCGATTTCCATCTGACGATACCAGCCCCCCTTCCATCTATGTTATGGGGAAGAACAAGGCAACATTTGCTAATTTATTTATTTATTCTTTCATTTTTAGAATATTCCTATACTGTTTCTTCGGATTAAATTAAACGCTATCAAAATTAATTAAATTATTTCTCTGTTCAATCAGAGTTTTGATAGTACCTATATTTAAATTAATGCATTTAAAAAAATTCTTGAAACTTCATCTTCTATTAGAATCCAAAATTAACGTGTACATCTAATCCAATCCAGAGATATTTTTTTTCCAACTATTAAAAGAAGCTATGAAGCTCCGGAAAACACTTAAGGAGTCCATTTAAAAATATTATTTATTGAGAAAATATAGTGTTATTTTTACCTTTTTATCTAAAAAACTTAACACTATTTGTTAGAAACATTGGAGTTTTTTTACATAACTTGTTTATCATTACTAAATTCATTGGAGCTAAATAAGTTTTTTTTCATCCCGATTACACATTAAATAATTAAAGTGCCCTTGGAAATAAAAAAAAAACCTGTCAGACATTTTTATATTTGCATAATAATTTTTTTGTTATTATAATATCTGAGATAATTTGGTATTTACATAAATTTAAAAATATAAAATGCATAGTGTAATAACGAGAGCCCTTAAAAGCAAAAACTATGGAGTTAGGGGGTAATTTGATATTTGATCATATATAAAAAACTAAAAATATTAGACATGCGTGGCATCTTCTATAGTCCAAAAATATTTATTTGTTGTGTCACTGGAATCACTGTCACATCCTATTCCAGGCGAAGAGATGTGTGTCATTGTTGATGTTTGGGTTTGTTGTTTATGGAATATTTTTCCTCTCTCTCCTTTTTTTCCCTTCTTTAGAGAATTATAGTTTAATCTTTTTAATTGTTGTTATTTTAACTCTAATTCTTATTATTTAGATTTTTATTATTTTTCTTTAATTGTTGTTATTTTAACTCTAATCCTTATTATTTAGATTTTTATTATTTTTCTTAGTATTTTTATAAAAGTTTTATTTGTTTATAATTTCATCTGTTAATTCCAATTTTGCATATATTATTTGTTTCAGGTTGGTTCTTATTTTTTATTTTTTATTTTTTTATTGGTATTTTTATAAAAAAATATTAGTTTTTAATTTCATCATTCAATTTAAATTTATGGTATTATATTTTTCAATTTGGTTCTCATTATTTTGATTTATATTTTTTTTCTCCCAGCTCTCATGTAAAAGTTTGATTTACTCCCAGCTCTTATGTAAAAGTTTGATTTACTTTGAATTTCAGATTTATATTTTTTTTCTCCCAGCTCTCATGTAAAAGTTTGATTTACTTTGAATTTCATCATTCAATCCAAATTTATGGTATATTATTTTTACCAATTTAATTCCTATTTTTTATTTTTTTTATTTTATTAAAGTGAATTTTTTTTAATTTCATTAATTAATGAAAAATTTATTTTTATTTTTATTTTTATGTCAAATTGTGTTTTATTTGAAAAATTAAAAAAAGATTATTTGATGATGTAATATTTGCAAAATTTGATCGCAATCCTAATTTTATTCCTGATGATATTTTACCTGATATTGTTATTTATTTAAAAAAACCAAGAAAACTGTGGTTTTTATTGAATGGATTTCATATGTAATAAAATTACAGATAGTTTAATAGAATAATAAAAAAATATTTTATATAGGTATTATTTAAAATAAACTTTATAATTCTATTTATTTTTTTTATCAAATTAGTCTAATATCATAATTTAGGTTATAGATTTAGCGAGATCTCTCAAATTAACTTAGCTCTTGTTACCAAGATTACTAGTTTATCGTTTTCACTCACTCAAATCAGCTAGGATAGAGATTTATATTATTTTTTACCCCACTTTACCTTTTTCATGAGTTGTGAGTTGAGTGACATCATTTGTCATTTTGTTTATTAAATATTTTTTTCCTCAATCACCTCTCTTTTTAAATTTAATATATTTATTGTTATTTTTTTATTTAATTAAAATAAAATCAACTTAATTTATCTAATAAAATCTATAACTTAAATCATATTTTTTTCTTTATTTTAAAAAATATTTTTACAGAGCCTAAAAATTATTTTTTATTAAAATAATAGCCTCATGCCATAGAATGTACACCGAGCCTAGCACAGCCTAAAAGCTTCAAAATGCAAATGCGGCAGATGACCATTGCTGCTCCTTATTGATTTAACTTTTCTCTTTTAAAAATTATGGTAATTATTGTTTATAGAATTTTTTTATTTATAATTATATTGAAATAATGTTTTTTTATAAAATTAATTGTTATATTATTGTGTCAATAAATTTAAAACATAAAAAAAAAATTAAAATTAAAAATAAATAAATATTTTAAAAAAAATAATTTTAAAACAACAATAAAGTGTTTATATTATTGTGTCAAAATAAATTTAAAACATCAAAAAAATAATAATTAAAATTAAAAATAAATAAATAATTTTTAAAAAATAATTTTAAAACAACAATAAAGTGATTTCAGATTTATACTGGTGAGTTGGCAACGGGAAGTTACTCTAAATCGGAACCGAGCATTAATTGCAAAGGAACAAAATAAACACGTAATAAATAGCTATAAATAAGCCAAACAAGGCCTCACTACAGACACGCAGACTCAAATTGCGGATGGGCTCTAAATAAGGCCGAGAACCAAAATGAACTGGAGAATCAACTTTTTCCAGGCTCATGTAGAAACTCCATGTTCTGTAAGGTCATCGCTCAATTCCAAGCAGATGGGCAGGTTTCAGCAATAAATTACTTGCCTAGGTATCTTAACATCCATCCCACTAATTAAATTTATGATCTAACTAATAAAATTATATTTTTTTTAAATAATTATAAAACCAATTATTATTTTATAAAAAATTAATATTAAACAAGTAAAAAAAAGATGTTAGATGATATTAATTTTTAAAACTTGTAATCCTGATCACTATACCAAAAATACTACAAGTAAAAAAATATAAAAATCAATTCTTAATAAATTAAATGTTAAATAATAAAATTAAAAAAATAAATTATATAAAAGATCTAAAAATATATAATTAAAATAACAAAAGTGAAAATCAAAATAAAAATTAAATTAAAGGGAAAACAAAAAAGTTCAATTGAAGGATTAAAGTATATTTAAAAAATAAATTTAACAAAAAAGACAGTGTAAGGCCACGTTAGACCATTGAATAATATCGTACACACCATCTAAAAAATACTTGGTTGTGTATAATAAAAATATATCAATAATTTTTTTGAATTTAAAAAAATATATATATATATACATGAAAATATCAAAACACAAAAAAAATATATATATACATGAAAATATCAAAACACCCTCGACAACCCTTCAAACAAATAATAAAAAAAAAAACCCTTGTATGGAAGGACAAAAACATCCCCAAAAATATACCATGTTTTTTTGTATTTCTATTGTATAACAAAAAGGAGGGCGGGGAACCTTGGTCAATGGCTCTACATTTTTTTGATCCAGAGAGTAGATAAATATTTTTAATGTTTTAACACTTGAGAGAAGATGAAGAAACCCTCAATTAATAATTCTAAATTTTATTAACATGGGTAAAAAATATATTTTTACTTTAAATTTTTTTTATAAAAAACTAACATCCATTCTAATAATATTTTAATAACAAATAAATCTTTGCAG